AAATTATTCTTTCCGAGCCTGTGAGACTGTTCTTCCTTTTTATTGTTTTGTTACCAGCTACTGGCACACTAGAAAGAAAAGCGAAAGAAGATTTTGTGGTTTTGTGAGCATGTGATGGCCAACATCACAATATCTTTTAGATCTTTTTTCGGGTGTCTGACCTAGTCAGCTGTGCAGTTCCTTGCTTTGGGTACCAGATGGGTATGTATCACTGTTGAGTTATGGGGTCACATGTGTACGTGGGAGCAATGTCTTCCCTGCTGCCTTTCCTCTCGAGCCTTTAGCTACAAGAGGGGAGTTGTGCTGCTGTGCAGTCGGACGCTCCCAGCCTCCTCTGAGCAAAAGGCAGTGGATGGACAGCATTGTTCCTGCCAGCTGCTTCACAGTGAATGAACGCATCCCTTGGTCCAACGTCTTTTTGTCCAGACCTTGTGATTTTGTGTGGCAGGTGACTTAGCTGCCTGTATAATATCCATTTCATTGGAGAAATGAGGTCTGCTGGCAGAAACCAGCAGGATGACTCAGATGCAGCTGTAGCACCTGAGACTGCTTTAAAGTTGTAGTTCAACATTGACTCTCTAATGTTAAAGCCAAGTGGTACAGGAATGGTAGGTAGCCTCCTGGTTATGAGTAGTATCCAGCAGGTAGCTTAAGACAAATATGAAGCAGTGTAAAGGTTTCGAATGCAGAGCTTAAGAACATGAAAATTGGCCAGGAGTCAAAGCAATCCATCTTCCCAAGTGCTGATTTGAAAGCTTAGAAACAAATTGCCATTTCTTTTTCGATAATGTGTGCTTGTTACTTCACTTGTTTCTGAGGTGGGTTAAACTTAACTTCTTGAATGTTTTCTTTTTGTTAAAGGTTAAGCATAGCTATTTGTGTGCTTGTTGGTTAATAAATGGTTTGCTGGGTAGGGCACTAATTTGGAGAAATTTGAGGTGAGAAACTGTCTGGTTCCTGGAAAGAGTTGGTTGGAGCATTCACAATTACTATAAGCAGTCTGTAATTCATATTTACCCTTTTTGACCAGCTATGAGTTGTAAATAACCTAGTTTTGTGCCCTGCCACATCCCCCCACCCCAAACAAGCAAATGTATTTGAGTCTGAAAGGGGTTTTTTGTTCATTTGTTTGACCTAAAGGTTGAAGCCACTTGATTACCTTTGCAAATAAAGGGAGATGTGTTTTGTTGAAGTGATACAGGTTTTTAGCTTCATCTTCATGTATTGCCCTAATTCTTTGGATCTCTCTCTTTCGAACAGGTAGAACATGTTTTCATTAATAATTTAAATGTCTTTTGGGTGGAAAATGTCTATGGTTAATGGAAATAGTAAAGGGTATCATGGAAAAAACCCCTATAAAACAGGGCTGAAAGGACACTTGCAGTTCTTCTTAACCATCTGTCTGCGTTAAAATCATGACACAAGTGACTTTAAAAAAAAAAAAAAAAATACACCAAAACCCACCAACCAAACAAACCCCCTTGTCTAAGCCAAGTGAAGATGGTTTACTGGGTTTGTGCCATCTGTGTCTGCGGGAACTAAATTCTCATGGGGAGGGAAGTGTTTGTAAAGCTGTGTAAATACCCTTCTCTGTGGAAGCTAATGCTGCCTTCTAGATCTGCCAACAGATGGCCCCAATGCCTTTCTTGCTTCTGTGGTTTTCAGAGCTCCCTTACGCTGTAGCAGAGGAAGAGCAAACCCATTGCATTATTGTGTTGTCACTATACATAAGCTTTGTTGTGAGCTTAAAATGTCCTTTGCTTTGTTTTTTCCAAACGCATAGTTTTACTTTCTGCCTCCTCAGGAGCTGGTTGTAATCCTTCATTGATAATGAGATTTTAAAATAAACACTTCGCTGTGAATTGTTAATGTTAGCATTTTTCTACTCGGTGTTTGTCCTGTTCTCTGTTTCTGTACAAGTAGTATGTCCAGTTACGTTTCCACTCTGCTGTTGCTACAAGCTGCTAAGACAAGCAGTGAGAGCCCCTCAGATCGTCTGGTCTGGTTATGAGCCCGTATTTGGGACTGGTGATTTTATGCTGGCATTGCTAGATCAGGTAAACTCAAGGGACTAAATGTACAAATTTCAGTATTAGTCAAAGCGCAGTTCTATGAAGCATGTCTGAATTAGTAAATCCATACTAATATGTGTAGTCTCTTCTTTCTTACTTGTGGAGGAAAGACACATAGTATATAGATATTTGTGGCTGGGACTTGCCCCTACCAGGTCCTTACTCTTTCTTATTTAGAGTTGAGCAAAACATTTATTCACTTTTAAATGTGTGTAATTCCATCAACTCTGATAGTCATCTTTGATAGGACTGGTCTATGTGTTAACTGCACTGTTTTGTTTTTTTTTTACTCTTGGCTCACAGTCAGACGATGGTGGTCCGACCTGCAAGGAGGACTTGATGACAAGTCTGCTAAGGATCTGCTCTTGAGATTGTCTTATGCTTTTTTTAACTAAATATACACAATATGGTAGCGTCTGAAGAGCCTCTGAGGGGACAAAAGGCATGTTCTCCTAGCTGTGAACAATTTTAAGGTATCTCTTGTAATCCTGACTGACAGCACCCATCCAGTCATTGCGCAGTACAACTGGCGTGACAGCTTTCCCTCCCTTTCTGTCACTCTCATTGCTAGGTGCTGGTTGCAGGCAGCAGGCTCTACTTACAGCTGAGGTGATGACAATATTTTTCTTCTGTAAACAGCAAAACACCAATTTGCTAATTTTGACTTAGACCTGGATTTCATTCTGTGGATGTTGTCAGTACTGGTGTCCACACGAGCAACGTTTTCCTTTGATAAAACCGCAGCAATGTTTTACAAATCAACGTTCACATAACTGTTCTGAAAAGCTGCGATACTACCTAATGCCCACACAAATTGTTAGCTATGCTTACTGCTTTAAAAGGAGTACTCTTGAAATGTCAAACCCTTGCTGTACATGTTTGCAAACTTAACTTTAAATGATAAGCTCAAATCTCACTCATTATAGATAATTGTATCTTCTCTCTGTAGAAAAAGATCTAATGCTGAACACTGTCTTAGCTGCCTCTGAATAACTTCAGATTTGATGCACGTCTGTTACCTTGCAACCATAAAGTATTCTAACAGCAGCGTATTCTTTAATTGCTTTGAAAGGTAACATTTTGCTGGGACATCTAGGTTGTGAATATAATGCATAAAATTTATCTCTGATGTGTTAATTTGCTTGACTTGTAAAGCCAGCGATTCTCAACATTTTTTTTGGATGACTTTTGAGTTTCCAATTGTTGCTTGCTGGATTTATTTCTGCTGAGCACAGTCTGCCTTACTATTTTCTCTAACTAGAGTAAAGATTAAAGCTATTTGGTTTTTCTGAAGTGTTCCTTGATAACAAGAAAATGGGATTAAGTTTATTTTTGTTGTATTTAAAGCTTATTTTAATATTCACTCACTCTAAGGTATGCTGTGGAGTAACAGTTAGGAATTCCTTGACTTGCCACTACTTCAGGGCATGTGGACTTTCTGTATGTCATGGATTAAACTTCTCTTCCCCCCCTTTGAGGTCTTAGTATTTATATATTGCAAGTTTGGCCAAGGACAAGAGCTAGATACCAGTTTGTATATGAGTCTCTTCATTGGGGATCACAATGGACCCTGGTCTAGGGAAAGTCTTAGTGGTCGGTTGGAAATGCTTGGTTGGGGTGGATCCTAAAGGCTAGTTTAGCCTTTGAAAAATTTGCATTATTCAGGTAGTTCTGGTCATTAGATGACACTTGGCAATCTCCTCCTTCCCTGTTACCCCATCAGCTGAGAATTGGTGTGTAACTGCTCCTCATCTGTAATAGCGCAGGTAAATCTTTGCTCTGGCCTGAGAGGTGGTACCCAATGCTGAGAGGCGTGGGACAACCTGGCCCCATTAGTTGTGTACCTGCAGCTGTGGAGCGTTCCCGGCATTGCAGCAAAAACTTTGGAACAGAATTCCTGGCGCCTCTTGCAGCAGGGCAACAAATGCCAGAAGCAGGAGCTGGCTGACGTGGCACAAAGTGAGTTCTAAGTACCAGCGTGCTGGGGTGCGGATGGTGCTGTGAAAGGACAAGGGGGTCAGAGTCTGTTTCCAGTCTCTTTGGGTTACTTTTCCCACTTGCTTTTAAGAAGACCTGCACTGCAGAGATTTCCTTGTCTCAGCTTCTGCAGGAGGCTTCTCCTTGCCTATTTATAGCTGCATCTGTATACACTCTAATCTCATTACCAACTTTCTCTCTTATACTTGCCTTAATTCTTAATGTCAAAAACCTCTGATTCACAAAATCTATCCGGTTGCTTCCTTCACCTTGACTCTACTCAGCCTTTTTGTTCTTCCTATAATCTCTGCATCAGTTTCTACCCTTTTCCACGTACGTTTCCTTGCTTATAGTAAAACCTGAATATAGTGTTCTTCCAAGAAGCAAATGAAAACTATTTTGGTAGAATAACTGTCAGAGAAAGTGTCAGTGAGATTCAACATGAGTAGTAATTGTAGTGCTAAATAAAACTTTCCCTTTTCCTTTTGACTTGTGGGAAAACAATTTATAGGTTCTTGTCAGACTTATTAATCTATTTCACCTATTCATGTTTCTGGCCAGTGATTTAGATTAGTTTGAAAAAAAATCCAGTCTGAAGGACAAGGAGTTTCTGAATAAATGTTCCTGATTTTAATCCTTGCAGTTGACTCTGCTGATTTCCATCTGTCCACTAAAAACTTGTCCATTTATTCTGAGTTAAGTCTATTATGTGCATCATTTTTATGTAAAAATATGTATTTGTGTAAATGGGTAGATGCTTCTAAATGAACAGTAATGATAAACTGTGGTGTCCGACACTTTTGAGTTTTATCCTGACTATCTAAATGGAAGACTTGTATCATTACATTTTTATTGCAGCTAAATTTGTAATTCTGCATCTCTTAAATTTTTGTTGTCTTTGTGTATTGTCTTTGTTACTTTTTAATAACTGGTTTTTTTTTTCTGATGTAGGGTGACTTGGCAGCTGTTGAACAGCTGCTGAAAAATGGGGCAGATCCCAATGTCAAAGACAATGCTGGCTGGACACCCCTGGTGAGTGTTGAAGCCTTTTTTTGCCATCTGTCTTCTGATTAGATTTAATTTTATCTGTCCTTTTCTTTCTTATATTTTCCTTCCCTTTCCATGCATTTAGGTGACAAAGAATTATGCAAAGTGATGATAAACAAGTTTAAAAGAATTTATTAGCAACTACTGATCTGCCCAAATCCAATTCCTCTGATGGGTAGGGCATACCAAGGAATTGCCTGCAATTCTGCAAATGCAGAAAATATTTATATGATAACTAGAAAATGATCAGTTGCAGGCAATGTGTATATTGTGTGAGTTCTTAATGTCCTCAGTGTTTTTACCATTTTGGAAATATATCAAGTAGTTGAATGAAAAAATTGCTCACTTGAATTACAGAAAATAAACAAAAGGTTCTTTTCAACCATGACTTCTTCCTCTCCTGAAGAATACTCTTGACAGAGTCTATAATCTGGGAGGCTTTGTTCTTTGTAGTCTAATTTGCACACAACTGGCCTTTGTTCGGTTCTTCTCCGTGATTTTTATTAGTGCTGGGTTCCAAGGTTAATTCACGTCAGGAATATAATGTGGTATCCTTGCGTTGTCTTCTATTGAGAGGTCATCTATTGAGAGGTGTTTGAAAATGAATGTGTAACTGGTGTGACAGAAGTCCTTCCTCTAAATTCTGTTTCACTTGAGTTTCCTCTCTTATGGATTTACCCAACTAGCATGAGGCATGTAATCACGGGCACAAAGAAGTGGTGGAGCTGTTGCTGCAATACAAGGCGTTAGTGAATACTACAGGGTATCAGAACGACTCGCCGCTTCATGATGCTGCCAAGAATGGGCATGTGAGCGTTGTTGAGCTGCTGCTTTTGCATGGTGCCTCCCGTGATGCAGTGTAAGTAGATGTGGAATGTTATTTTAACTGTGGCGTTAGCTACAGCTACAACTTCCAGGGAGTGTGTTAAGTAAATATGAAGCAAAGCTAGTAATGAATGTAATTCACTTGAAGTGAGGGGGTGGGTGTTAAACATATCCTCTGCTATACTTATGTCCTCCTTTTCCAGATAGGTGTTTCCTTTCCACTTTGCTTTGTCCTATGCTTTTCTGAGGATGGTAAGAGTCATAGATAGCTGGAGTATTGGAGACTGTACTAGGAAAGTAACACAAATACGTTTACCCTATTCTTACACTTTCCTGTTGGCATCTTGTTATAGCTACTGTCAGATCTAAGATGCTGAGCTAGATGAGTTTTGAACTGCTACAGCTGTTTTTTGTCTCTTTGCTTTTACTACACTACTTGGTAACAGAAGGTGTTTGGGTCCAGTCTCTTCTACCTTCACAAATGACATAAACACAGGTGGAGATTTGGGGAGTATTTTTGATTTTTTTTTTTCCCATTCTGGATCAAAGCACTAATCCTTGGTACACTTTTTAATTTTTAATAAAAAAAAAAGCTTAGAAATATTTTCAGTTGAATCTTCTATACAGTTACACCTCCTGAAGACTTTGGCATTTGTATATAGGAGGTGCTAAAGAATCTGTTAGTCTGTTAATAACCCTGTAAGCTATTAATATTTCAGACACTAAATGTGGTTTTAGATGCTGTAGCATTGCTGTTCTCAGGGCCTGTCTGTATAAAATTTGAGTCCAATGCATGTTGTCAATAGGTGTGTGTATATAGTAATGCAATAGGATGAAGTCTTGCATGACATGAATTTCCTTGCCAGCCACATAAAGAAGCATAAACAAGTTCGGCTTAATCACTTCAGCTCTCAATATTCACTCCTGAAGCTTACAGAATTAAGGTACTCTGGAAAAAGCATAGGGTTTTCAAAAACAGTCCTAATCTTGAATATACTGAAATTTAAAAAAAACAACCAAACAACAAACCACACAAACCCACAAAACTTGAGCATGAAAAAAGTAAAACAAGGATCAATTGTTCGTCTTCACTTTGTTCTTGAACAACAAAGACCAGCGCATTGCACCTTGAAAAGCTGACACCTTCAGAAACCAATTTTCAAGCCACTTGAATATTGGGAACTGCTTGTTTGATGCTTATCTGTCTGGTATTTGAAAGTGTAGCACAGCCAACAGCTTTGATGCGAGGTTTTGTCAGGACTTGAGCACTGGTAGATTTGTGCAGCAGAGGCTCCAAAGACTCTTCAGGTCTCTTACTAGCCTTAGTCTCTACCGCATGTGTTCATGCAAACTGAGACCAAGTTGAACCTCTTTCAGCTCGTTCTATATGAGCAAACGAGACTTTCTATTGAAACAGAAGCTTTTTAATCATGGAAGGAGAGATTCATGTAAACCTTAAACCGTGGCTCAGCTCTTCACTGCGTGCAGGTAATGTTCAGTTGTATGTTAAAACATCGTGACATAGGATATGTCACAACTCTGCAACTAGCTACCTCTTGTAGTACCTCTAAGCGTCAAAAATAGTTTCTAACACACTTCTAAGTATGCACTGTTCTTGACTTAATCTCCCGGCTACTTAGAGCCGTGTTAAGAAATATATGGTTTTTTTCCTTTAACTTAAAATCTTTTGGGGGACAAATTTAGCTGTCTTTAATCTTTGTTTCATTTGTCTGGCAAAAGGAACCACGGGTGCTTTGGCAAAAATCCAATCCCATACATCCACCCCCGGAAAAACTGAGGCTTCCAAATCTTCTGTAGGCTCTAATCTCTGGCTGAGATGCTACTGTGCATGTTACGCATTGATGATTGAAAGTGTTGGGGTTTTCCCCGTGTTTTTACAGAGAGCATTAGAGGTAATGGGGATGTACAAGCAAAGTGTTCAGACTTGAATTAGATTTGAATGGTAAGACTTTACTGACCTCTTCCAAACAGTACCAAGAAACAACAGAAACAAGAACAGCATGTCGGAGACTTCTGAGAATGTCCTGTGCCTCCCTTCTTTCCTGTGCCTTGCTAGCTTCCAGCAATGAATTGTGCCATTATCTTTCCCTGGACCGTGACTTTGCAGATCTTAGGGTTTTTCTGCCACTGCCTCTAGTGGTTGTAGTCCTAATTAAACAGTCATTGGATTTATCTAGCTAAGTGGATTTGAACCTTCTTTAATGTAGAAGGTTTAAATATTTTTTTTTCTAGTTGATGCAGGTACCGTTATGATGAACTCACCTCTGACAAGAAGCTTGCTTTTCTTCAGTGACTTTTCCTAGATCCCTGAGACCTGCAGACCACAGTTGTAAAAACAGGAGGCGAGAACAGGGTGATTGCACCACCTTAAAAGATGGTGCAATTACAGTTCTTTTCAGTATGACTACTTATTGTACTTTAACGCAGGATCTGCTCACCTTCATGTTATTTCTTTAGGATCTTTAAAGTAGAAATTGAGCAGTGATGAGTAGAACTTGCATGTTTTCTCAAAGGTTTATTTTCCTTAGGAATACAGCTGAGGGGTGCCTTAACCTTAGAGGTATGTAGCTTGTGAGTTAAGACTATACCAAACCAATTTTGCCAAACTGATAAACGTGTCTAATTTTAGTTTGCAATTTTTTGGGGGGTGTATGAAACTGTAGTCCTTTTGTGGGCTCTTCAGGCTCTCAGTGAACTAACTGTCAGCTCAGGAGAGGGCCCTCTTTGTCCTGGCCTATTAAAGTGATTCTTTGTTACCTCATGGGGGCAGGGAGGAAAGTTGTATCAGTTCACTGTGGTTTCTTAAAGTCTTTTCCTTTAGCTAAGCTGAGTAGATTGTGAACATGATAAATGTACTCAAATCTTACTTGGGACACTCTGAAATACATAGCATGAAACCCCACAAAAGTGACTGATGTCTCACTGCTGTTTTGACTGTAGAATTAACTGAGTTTTTGCGTCTTAATGTCCCTTGTGTTGGAGAGTTAATCTACTGGAATAAAAACAGAGCTTGTGTTGAATAGCCTGCTTAGAGCAGTGGGTTTGAAATTTAGTATGATACGCAGTTGTGCAAGATGAAATATTTTTTTTTTAAAGATGTGCAATATTTACTGACTGCAGGCCCAAAGGCAGGTAAGATCCACTGGTCTGTAGAGGGATGTAAGATATATCTGGGAGCAAATACAGCCGCTTTCTAAGGGAGCTCAGTTCTTGAGGAGCACAGATTACTAACATAACCCTCGCCATCAGAGAGCTGAGACTCGGCAGTTTCAGATTTAGATCGTCAGGTCCACAGACCCATCCAGTACATCTCATTCCAAGTGTCCTTCAGGCTTTTTTTCTCCTTGCATGTTAATGCATAGTGCATTAAGAAGTAACTGTATGTAATATGAAGCAGCTACATATGTTTTGGACCAAGCAAATACAGATGAGCACTACCTCTCTTGTCAGAAAGCAATCCGGGGATTTCAGTAGTCTTTGGCAAAATTTTTCTTTTTTTAAATCTGTAAGATTTAATAGTTGTGGTACTTCATTTGCCATTTGAAGCTTTCACTGACTGGGAAAGATATGAACTACAAATGAAAAATATTGTATGGACCAGTGGACCTATTAATTGTCCTGCTGGTCTAGTTAATTTTTTTAAGTTAATCTCCTACACATAGCTAATTTATATTTTTATAGCTTTTTTCATGTGCTCACTCTCTTGAATTCTGTCTTTTTTTCCCTGCTTCACAGCAAGCCAAGTGATTTGAAAAATTAGATCTGTGCATTTGCAATTTCACAGTACTTCCTAAATGCTTTCACTGAAATGGACTATCTTGCCAGTTCTTCATGCACAATAAGTTTAGCGTTTGTAAAAATTGTTGTGTTGCCCGATGTTTTGGGGGCTTTTTTAGGTGTTGGCTGTCTTTGAGTAGTTGTGAGTCTGATTTTGAACAAGCCTGGGGGAATGCTTAGGGATAGACTGTGGTCCTCAATTATGAATGGCATAGGGGCAAAAACTATTATAACCTGCAGTTAATTCCAGGAGGCATTAGACCCATGACACTGGTATAATTTTGTCTGCTTTTTCTAAGTCAAGATAGTGCAGGACTTCACTGTCTAAGTCCAAGACAGTATGCTTAACTTCCTGCTGACAGCAGGTTAATTAAAACCCTGGCCCTGTTTAGGTATCTAAGAAGGTCTTTCTGGCTACACAGATTAAATTTTCTTCCTTCTGTCAGGTTCAAAAAAGATTTCTGCTTACCGCGCTCTCAAAATACGGGTGCTGACTGGAGAGCCCCAAACTGGTCAGATTTCCACACGGGAATTAGTGCACTGGGACCTGGTTGGGGAACTGCCATTCAGTATTGAACCCTTCTGTGGGGCTGAGGTAAAACTTGGCTTATGCTTAGCTGTGGAACAGCAAATAACTTTTGGTATCAAAACGGAGCAGTTTAAAACTGCTGATTACAAAGTATTATGCAGTCATTGTTTGCTTGTATTGGAAGCTGTGCAAGTTTGGGGCTTCTGAAGAACTGAGAGGGGTGTCTTCCCATTTATCATCTCTCCTCTGGTCGCTTATTTCCTGAAAGTTTAATGGAACATTTAGAAGGTAGCTGTTAAGTTTCTTTTTCATTATAGCAGTAACCTCTGTTGTCTTCATACCTAAGACTTCAGCAGTGTTGCACCATAAACTGAATCCCATTTCTAAAGCTTTTCATAAGAAGGTCTTTGATCTGTCAGTCCTTAAGATACCATCTGTCATCTCATGTAAAGTCATACTCAGCAGATTACGTTGAGTTGCTCGTCATTGGGCTCATCTTTGTTCTCAGCACAGACATCCTACGCTTTGATTGGAATTTGTTCTAGCTGTAATAGCCCTCTACTGACTATTCAGTACCTTGATGACTGACTAATAGGAGACTGCTTGCATCAGAGGATACATCTGACTCTAGACTGTTTAAAACAACTTGCAAAAAGCCCACTTGCATTCTGGCAGACAGTGCGTGCCTTGGAGACCTGGCAGTGTAGCTTAAGCACCGCAGACCCTTATTTCTCTCTTGCAGAAGCAGTGGTGTCTGTCTTCCCTCTGAACGTGGAACTTGTCCTGTTAATCACATGCACTGATCCTGATCTCAAGAAACCCAGACCTATAGTAGGAGCACACATACATAGTTACTGATATTTCCAAAAATGCTGTGTTTGTGTGTTGGGGTGGACCAAATGTGCATGTCCCACTTAATTTTGTTTTGCAAACTGGATCAAAATTCATGTTTTACTCCAAACAAGGTAGATTTCTGTTCAGCTGGGCTGAATAAAGACAGATTTGAGCATGCATTTTTGCCAAAAGCTTTTTTTATCCCATTCCTGTGCCTTATTGGTGTTCTTGTGGCTGCACAGATCTGGTCCTTGATAGGGTTAAAAATAATATACATTCCTAATATTTTAAAAAAGGTTCCTCAAGTAACTGCACTGATAGTTGTACCAGCCCAACAGAGACCTGGCCAAGGTCTCTTTGATCATGATTATTTACTTTTTGGATGGTTAGTGGGTGCCTAACTAAAAAGAACAAATCTGGTTTTCATGCTTTTTTTTGTTTTAAAGGATGTGTAACTTAATACCATACTCAAAATCGGTTTTCTGGATGTGTTCCTGGTCTTAGTTTTTATTTGTAAAATAAAAACTTTTTCTCACTTAAGCTCAACAAGCTCTTAAGCCAATCCCTTGAGCTGGTGTTCGTTTATTCAGACCTCAGCTACCAAGTTTGTCACATTTTACTTTACCCTTGCCACCTGAACATCCTATGAATAGCCATTAGTTCTTCAGTGTTGCAAAATAATGGGATAGCATTTTGCAACACACTGGTAAGAAGTGACTGAAGTGATCTTAAAAATGGAGGGAAAAAAAATTAAGTGAATACAGAGGGGGTAGCTGGAGCTTTTATTAGTACAGTTTAATTGGCAAAAAATGTTTTATATTTAACTGTAGTGGCCTCTATATTTATCTATGGTAAACATTGATGAGGCTTTTTCCAACAGTCAAGCATCTTACTGTGACTTGGTGGGGGAGACACCGCCGAACTTCTGCTACTGACATGCAGTGATTTCCTCCCCCTGCTTAGCTCACAGTAAAAGGTCAGCCATCTAGTCTAAAGGTGATTTTAGTGTATGTGCTAATTTCCCCACACACACGCTCTCCGGATGCATTGTTCAAAGGAACTGTCCTGCAGCAGTTTGAGTCGAATATGGCCCTTATTTAAAGAAAGGGCAAGAGCTACCCTGATGATGCATGACAAAGCAGGAGCAGCATGACAATATTTAATGGGCTGCAACTCGCAGGACTGGGCTGAGATTTAACCAATTATCTTTTAGTCTGCAGAATTTGTATTATGCTAGCTCTTTGCTCATTAGCAGCACAGAAGAGCTTGGGGTTGGTAATACTGTAAAACTAGCAACTGTAAAATACCATCCTAGAATCTTCTGTGGGATTTCTGTGAATTGCTGTTTTCCCAAGAGGCCGTGTTAGTGAGCGGTGCTCTGTCAGAGGCGTAGAAAGGTGCTGAGGTCAGATGCGTCTTTCAGCTTTGCACTGGCCAAAGCCCCCCAGTTAAGTCAGAGTGAAGACTTAATTATTTGAGCTTCTCTTTGGGCTGGATTGGGTTATGGCTTTATGTGGAATTCCCTGTAAAACTTCCTAGATTCTTACTCTGCACAGGAACACGTGGCTAACTAAGAGACAGCGCTTTGAAGATGCAGTGGCTTTTTGACCTCTTTAAATGTTTCATTGTTTGATGACTAAGCTTGCCGGATTTCAGATACTGAGTCAGGGCTTTGTTCTCGGTGTCAAGCTTCCCCTTCATAACGAGCTCTTATTATGCCTTTTGAGAGCCAGAGCTACATGAGGTGGGGAGAAGAGGATCAGCTGGAATAGCCATTATTCTCAAAAAGGGCAAAGCAAGCAGAATATTTCCCAAGAGTGCTGGCAGAGGATCATCATGTTTGTTAAGGGCAATTATACCTGTTCTGCGGTTTCAAGCTTTCCTCTATTGACTAATGTCCTGCAGCTGCAAAGTTGTGTGAAGAGGAGCTAGAAGCCATGCCTGTGCTTGATGTTGTGTTTATAGCAAATCATATCTGTCTGGGTAATGCTGAAAGAATGAGGGAGGAAACGGGTCTTGAAGCATATCTAATAACTGTGGGGTGCCACATTGGGTGAATAGTGTTCAACAGAGTCGGCAAACCGACTAAAATTTGAATGAATTGGCTATAATGTGTTCTGTGGAACAGCATACTGAGGGAAAATGAGATGCATACTCAAATTTTGGAAGCGTGAGGGAGTCACAGTTCCCAAGTAGGAAGCAGATAGCTTTTCCCATAAAAGCATAACCACATCGAGCTCCAATGTTTAACGCAGTGTGTAGAATCTTCTGACGTGTCTTTTACGGCAAATGGGTAAGCCAAAAATACATTTTCTTGGTTATGACTGCAATGAAAGATTAAAGCTGAAATTTCCGAGTCTTGTGAATGATATCAAAATGCTTCTTGAAACAGTTTAACAAGGACTGTGGCTTATTTAACTGAAGATACTGCTCTGAACATCCTTTACTCCTCAGCTGAATGCAGCAGATTGTAGTTCAGTATCCATCTGTCTTGGATGCAATTCTTACTTGAAGCTTTGTGGTTTTTAGCTGAAATTACATATTAATAAGAAAGTGGGAGGGAAAGCTACCCAGCTAATGTGCCCAGTTAATTAAGAATCAAGTCACATTTTATTTACTTAAACCCATCTGTGCTTGTTTTGCCAGTAATATATTTGGGCTGCGGCCTGTGGACTACGCGGAAAGCGAAGAGATGAAGTCTGTGCTAATGTTACCAGTGAAGGATGAATCATTTTCATTTAACCACCCCTCTGAGGTAAGTGTGTGTGGTTTTGTTTTGCTTTGCTTTTTTAGGAAACTGTAAGTTCATCCTGTAAGTATTGAAGGCTTGGACCTAAGTACAATACATCATTTGCCTTTACAGGGAGATTTAAAATAGGCTGGGAAACTACCTTGGACAGTATTTCTAGAATGTGTGTGGGACACTTACACACTAGGATATTCTATGTTATAGCTTTATCTGGGAGGAGGATGAATACTGTGTTAATCTTGAAGTATCATTGATTGAACATTGCTATGGTTGTTGGTTTTTCTGCATATTTAAATGCGTTCTACTTGCCAAACTGGCTGAAAGCAGCAGCAGTCTTTGCTCCAGGTGCTTTTTGTGTGCCTTTAAAAGGCAGCTCCAGGAATGTCCTTTTGCCCAACAATGAAGATGCCAGCTCAGCAGCTGAAAACAGCTTTTGGAAGATTGTTTTTGGGGTTTTTGTTTTTCCCCTCTTTTTGTCAGAATTCGCAGACTTGTGACCAAAATCAAGTTATTCAGAATTAACAAATTACTGCATTATGAAATGCTTTGTGCTTCCTAATGAATGATCATTAAACTGACCTGGTTGATACAAGCAGTCCTAGTCTACTCCAGGGTATACAGCCTGTTACGATCCCTCCTTGTTGAGGTAACAAGATACCCATGACCAAAAGTAAACGGTTGCAGATAAATCGGCAAGGATATGACTTCCACCTGTAGCAAATGTAAGATGCAGCTCTTCTGTCACAAACAAAATACTCGGTATTTGCAGTTGCTTTGGGGTGAGTGCATGCCAATGGATGGTTACCAGCTCATATGGATCAGTGGATCCAAAGTCCGAGGCTTTAGGGGTAACAGGGTCTCTGAGGTATGTCTGTACTATGGAACCTCGGAGTACTTACAAAGACCCAAGAGTTGAAGTATCACATCGTTGTCAGCATAAAACTTGAACAAGCAGCTCATCTTACTTTGCATTAGTAGTATCTGCATAAGAAACTTAAGCATTCATGCCCTACAGGGCAGTGTATTAGAGACTTTTTAGTAAAAGGAAATGCAGGTGTTAATTATACACTACCAATATGTTAAGTAACCTGTATCTGTTGGTAATACTTCACTAAAAGTAGGAGGCTTTACTACTTCATAAGGAAATTTTTTCCTCTCCTTCAACACTGTGGTCAGCAAGGCTGTTTACAGAATGTTCAACCAGATAAACGTGTGCCCATCACTGTCTTTTTTTCTTCCTTGCTTTTTGCTTTTTTTAAACTGATGCACAAGCTGTTTTGGTACCTTGCATAAGCTAAATGAAGTACCTCTACTGTCAAGCTTTTTTCCTCTACAGCTGGTTTGTCACACAGATTTATTTATGGACCCTGTCCACTAAGCTTGCCATGAATTGTTTTTCAAAATGCTTATACTTTATTTAATAAAGCTGTCAAACAAGCTAGTTGCTTTCTTTATGTTCCCAAGCATTCAGCTTATGGCAGGCCTTTCTGTTCATGCAGGCACTGAGCCCCAGCCAGCCAAGAGATGGACCTCTTGGTATACTGGGGAGCAGTCTTAGTTCAGAGCAACAGAAATTGCTGAACAAACTAGCAGCAGTCCTGAAGGCTCGAAGGTACACTGAATTTAATAACAGAGGTATGTAGTCTTGTTGAAATATCTCTGTCCGGATATAAGTAACAAGAGTTCTGCAGTTTATCCTTTAAGATACTAGCTGCAACATGTTTTTTTTATTATTCTTAGTAAATGCAGTTTCTGAAATCCCCGAATTATAGCAGTAGTAGAATGATGGTGTCTTTTGTTGCATTTAAACACACACAAAGCCTGCTTGGTTACTGAAGGCGGGAGACTTCTGGGGGAGCCACGCTATGACAGTATATTGTCTGTTATTTAAAATCCATAAGTTCTCCTCAAAGACCTCTTCTCTTTACAGTTCTTTTACCATCTTTAAGGTCTCTGCTCATATGAGACATCCTGTAAGGTTTTTATCTTCCAGAAGTGAGTCTTGGGCAGATGGTGGCTTTAGAAAGAGAATGTGACTGACTCAAAGTTGACAAATTTCTTCTCACATGCTACCTTCCTTCGAATTTCATTCTGCATGAAGATGATGGAGCCAAATTACAGGGCTTGGGAGTTTTCTTTGGCTCCCTTTTGATAGGGATAACATTGTCTTAATACCTCCTACTAGATTTTCTTTGGAGTGCTGCTTCTCCTGCTTGTGAAAGAAATGCTAAAGTAATTTTCCCCTACCATCATTCACACCCTGATTACTACTCCAGAAATGTGAGTTGAGTTCTGTTAGCTTTGTGCTAAAGCAGTGAGATCCCATAGTAAGATTCCTGTCAGAGTTAAATATAACTTCAAAAGGATTGAAGAAAAAATACTATCCTGTAAACCGGAGCCTCATCTGAAGATATGTTAGCTTAGAACTATAAAAATGTGACTTCCCTGTTTCACAGCAAGTATATGTTGAAACCCAAAAAACTTCTAATAGCGCTTCTATTTACTTGTATCTTAGTCTCAAAAATTACATACTTGTGCTGGAAAGAGTGGTTGATAAATTATTATAGTCTGTTTATTCTTTAAATAGTGATTGATTGCTTTTCAGCTAGGCATGGTTCTGATTTTTATGTGCTTTTAGTTCTACTGATGTAATCTTTCTCCTAGTAACTCATCTTGTTATCCCTGATGTTCCCATGCCAAGTACTGTGAAATGTATGATGGCTGTTCTGACTGGATGTTGGGTCCTCAAGTTTGAATGTAAGTATTAAATATGTGGGATTCTTTGGGCTTTTAAACCAGAAGTTGTAGATGGGATTCCAGGGAAAATTTTCTTTTTCAGCAACTACCCTAGTATCAATACTGGCTTAACATAAAGTGTGAGGGTTTTGGGTTTGTAATCTCCTGCATGACAAGAGATTGAATTAAACACAACTACTCCTTCCTTGGCAAATGTGTGCATTTCATTATTAGATCTGTTAGGTAGGTCATACCCTAAGTATCGGTGAGGAGTGAATTTGTTCATTGCTACATTAAGAGTGATTTGGAAGACTATGGGAAATATTCTGGGAGGGGAGGAAGGAATGTGTTAAATTCCTAGGTTTCTTATAAGCAGCTTCTATTGAAACTGATGGGGAAACTTTTGCTTGCTTGGGGTGTGTGATTAAGGCCTGTAGGAAGGTAAGGTGTTGCCTATTTATATACAAGCTGAGATCTGTTGAGAGTTAAAACTTGTAACCAAAGTTATGCTGTCAGCTGATCGTAACCCCTGTTTGCACTTTGTATTAAAAGTTCTGTATTTGTTGGGAAAGCTGCCAGGCTCTGTGCAATCGCAGGCTCAGGCAGATCAAATATATACGTACCTTTTGATACCTATTTCTGTACATGTGAGCCCTGCGGACTGGAGTGCTCTTCAACTACAATAGTAACCTCCGAGGTGACTTGCATAGTGTCCCGTTAGCATGCAAGTACTTGTTTAGATGTCATCTTTCATGCAATCCTTAACTAGTTTTTATGCGGTGCGTGCTTTGCCATATAGCTGTTCTGTGGACTTACACTCCAGATTCTGTTTTGTATTTATTCTTTGTAATATATTTCTTAGTATCTGCTTTCATAGTAGTTGTAAAAGCCATTTTCTTCTCCTTGACCTTTATATTTAAATCCTTTTAGCTAACCACTACACTACAAATGAGTTAATTATCCATGGAAAACTCACAGACAAATTTCATTCCAGTTTTCTACTGTGTGACTAAACATCAGAATATAGAGATTCTTTAATGGTCTGAATTTTCCAGTCACTAATGTTTATGAAGGCATTGCTTAAAGCTTCAAAAGCTGCATACTAGTTTTTCAAATAAAGCACGTCATCAGACTCTTTGAACATTGGACTGTTTTTTTCAGAGTGCTTATTTGGCTTCCAGATAGGCAGTGGATTTCTTCCATGCCTTTTTTTTTTTTTAAAGGCACTGAATTTAGTGTTGCCTCAAATGTTTCCTGCAACACTTAGAGTGGCTCCTGTGTTTGGCCTTACAAGCATTTGCAAAAGCAAAACATTTGTGTTGTCTTTGTACTGTGATTCTTACAAACAGGAGTAGCTTCTTGTTGAATATGTAACGTGGAGAAATACTATTTATGCTGAAGGAAGCAGATGGATTTAATAACCTCCAGAAACTTTGCTGATAAGTAGAAGGGAGATGGCTTCGTGTTTGAGGGTAGGGATGCAGCAGGAAACTCAGAAGGTCTAGAAGCGACGTTTGGGTTGTATAATGGGAAAGGGTGTTTTCAGGTGCTCTGGAATGATGGCCTGTTTATCTAAGACTGAATAATCTTTTTCTGTAGTGAATCATTGTGGGTTCTTGGCTTCACTCAGCTCAGGAGATCTGCATACCTTCTATCATAAGTGCTAGGGTGGTTTTCCTTCATTTCATTTTATTTTCCTGCTAGTCAGATCCTTAGAAAACTTCAGCTGAGTGGTAGAGAAATTTAATTAGCGAGACCTAAGTTTAAATCTTTGTGGAAGAACTTTTATATTTAGTGATTAGAAAAGAAAAAATAGTGTAGTGGTTATTCAGGGAATATTTTCATATTTTTTGTTTGCAACTGAGTTTTATTTTATGTTGTTAGTACTGATTAGTACAATCCTGACTGCTAATGCTCCCAGCTTAGTAAGCAACATACTACTTAAAAGCGAGTGATTCTCCTCCCTAGTGGGAAATGTTAGTAATAACTCATGGGGTCTGATGCAGCTAAGTGCCTATAATTAACAGCCCTACTCCATCTGTTCCCACCAGTCTGTTATTAGTCTTCTTCAGAGTCATTACAAGTTAAAGATTGTTATAACAAATAATGGGACTCCTGCTGATGGAACATTTGTCTAGGAAAAAGAGGTCTTTGCTTTTCCATAATTTCTCTCTTTATTTATCGTGGCTTTTTGACTTTTATTTGGATAAGTTTCCTTAAATGTGATGCAAATAAACTTCCAAAAGTGTGTGCATATTCTGGCTTCTGTCAAAGCCACTGCAAATAAATTGAAGGAGTTGCTTATGGTTCAGTGTTCTAAACTGTTCACTTAAAGTAAATCCATGTTCAAAAACTTCATTGAAATATATGAAAAAACCAAGCTCAACGTAGCATTTAATGAAATGCTGACTATGCATAAGTGAATATTTGAAAATATTTTTTTACTACAAGGTAAGCTGCATTTGACTGTTATTTCTAAAGTTATAGATAACAAATACTACTCTTTCAAAAAACATCTCATGATTACAAAGAAATGTATTTTATTTAAGAGTGTATTTCTTACATTAACTCTTCTGTTATAGCAGGCTTTCAAGCTGTGTTTCTCTAATAAAAAGCGATTTCCTTCTCTTGTATAATTCTATGGTGCTTCTATTTACGTGTGTCTATACACACAGATACGGCATCCCTTAGTATCAGTAGAGAGGTAATGTGGAATTTTCCAGCAGACTTTGACCTAAATGTAAGGCCCTCTTAAGTATTAGAGAGCCAAGATTTAAATATATTCAGTTTTGGGGTTCTCTTTGTCTTCAGGTAGAAGATGAGGATGAAAGGATGTCATCACTATGCAATATGGGATCTTCACAGAAGAAAAAATTCCCCTTACCAGTTGCAGTTCCGTATCTTCCATATATAATACACTGTCAGCAATATATCCACTTTCAAAGCAGCGTAGAATTCAATTGAGACACTGTTGTCCCTGTGCTCCTTGCCCTTGGCCATATCTTTCATTGGTTTCATTATTTTATTGCCTTCATTATTTCTGGGATGGTAATAGGGCACAATGTAGCATATCATTATCCTTCTGCAAGTAGGCTGAGACAAAGATTCAAGTATCACTGTGTTTCGTCAGTGCTTTTTGTAGAACATAGAATAGTGTAATTAAAAGCAGCAGAAGTCTTTAATAGCTTTTCAGCTTGTTTTTTCTTAAACTGATTGTCTTCTGTTAAAAAGCAGGGAATGAAAAATGATCTCTGTAACGATATGCATTGAAACAAGCTTGTGTCGGTCTTTGCAGTGGAGTATCTGGCAGAATTCGAAGCATCTGATTGCTTATTCCCTCATCTGTTTTTTGCTTACCTGGAGCAGCAGCATTCAGAGCATTCAGCTCTGATCATTTAAAGAATTGCAAAAAAAAAACCCAAAACCACCCCACAAAACCCTGCTTTTCCTGTAAGGACTTGGAACAACTGGGAGTTGACTGGAAGAGCTTAAGGGATCGCATGACTGACATCTCGAGGTGAAAACATCTTTCTGAATTTCTTGGAGCAATAATGCCCGTCTTTGTTTAGGCTATTAGATGAGAGAAGTGCAAAGCTGTTTGAGCTGACTGCTTCTTAGGCTGTACTGTCTCTCTGCCATGCATAAACATCTTTTAGGTGACAGGCCGATACTCAGCAAAGCCCTCCCTCCTTAAAACAGCTCAAAACTTTTGATCACTGGAGTTTCACACTTGTCTTGTGGTTGGAGACTTCAACTGCCGCCTCCTACAAAAGGACTCGCAGCTCTGTGGGAGGTGGTAGAAATATCTAAAGTGCATATGCATGTTCTTGGATATATGGCAGAGGGGAATGTTTCACATCGATAGGGTCTAAACCTCTGCACTCCCACAGTGTCTGCGCCTTCTGGAAAGGAGGGCTGAAACAGTTTTGCTTCAAAGTCAGCACAAGTTTAGACTGAAGCTGCTGGGATTTGCAGAGGAAGCAACTAGGGGCGGGATGTCTTCAACGCGCTGTTTGCAGAACTGGGAAGCGGGCTGGTTTTGCAATAAGGTCTAGAGGAAAAGGAAGCCATGTTTCTACTACTGCCTCTGTTCTCTGTCATCCAGATGGTCAGGGTTTCATATTTAGAGTCCTTTTGTTCTAATTAGCTTTTGGTTTGAAGAAAACATTACATTAAAGAAGCCCATTGTACGAAAAAAGATGGGGAATATTGCCTTCTTAATTTAAAAGTGCGTGACAGGATCCAGAACGAGAGGATGAGTGCTTCCAGTGGAATTTGACCTGACCTCTGCACCTTAGGAATGACTGCCTTCAGTCACTTTGATCAGTCCAGAAAACATCTGTGACAAATAGTGGGTTCTTAAAGAAGATAGGATGCTTGAGGGTTTATGTGAAGTAATAATTCTCATATTACATGCTTCTAGCTTCTGGGAATTGATGTTTAAGGACTTACTAAGCATCTGCTCCATCATGTTTAATAAATATCACCTGGATTAACTTGTTAACTCCCATTCTTAAGCAGATTGATTTTAGTCTCTGTAGCATCTTGTGGCATTTCCATGTGTTGAAAAAAATGGAAAATGGACTGCTTTTGTTTCACCAAATGAGATCTCTATGTCACTCCATGAAAATCTGTGATTCTAAAGTTACTTTATAAGCATATAAGACAATATAAAACTTCTTTTCTGTGCTGTACCAGAGACCAGTAATGCTGTTGATGAAAGCAAATTGAAGCTAGCCATGCCAAATTCCCCTAAGGCTTTCTCTCCATCCAGATTTCTTCCTTTTCTAGGAAAATAATCTCAACAAGCTTTACTCAGTCTCCATGTAGGTCTTAAAACCCAGTGCAGAGTGAGCTGAGGAAGTTTCTGTTGCAACCTCTACTAGGTCTTGGTTGTGTAGTATTTTATCTTCTTTGTTGCTATCATGTATTTCTAAATTACTTTTAGCTGTTTAAGAGATTTTTGGGACTAACCCCTGCTCTTTGCTTTATTAATGCAAATCCAACAAAACTCCACTAAG